ACGTCGTGTTCTTACTAAATAAGGTAGATATACTATATATATATATATATATATATATATATATGAAATAAATTCACCAAAATACCTTAAAAAAGGATATTTGACAAGGATTGTGAGTATTGTTTGCCATAATCACTATTTTATTTTTTTTAGGTGTTTTTAAAATATCTCACATTGTAAATCTAATTTTTTAAAATCATTTTTCTCTACTTTTTTAAATATTTTGTTAAAGTTTTTTTAGGTTTGAATTTATTTTTAATATATATTTGTATTTTTCAAATTTTTTTAAAAAAATTTAAACTTTTAGGGAAATTTACGTACGAACCAGATTTTTATATTGTTATTAATATTATGACTTTAAAATAGCCCTTTATTACCTGGAAGGACGGATCACTGAATTTTATTTATTTTTACCATGTTTTCCCTAAACCGATTTTTCAATCATCGAACCATTTGGTAACCCTGATACTTTTCATTTTTTGCCATGTTTGCCCTCAAAGTTTTTATCGAATCCTTGGTTCACTTAAAAAAATTCAACAGAAAGCAGTCTGATGGTCCTAACATCAAAACACTTCGTTAACTTACAAAAACGCTTTGTTAACTTACAAAATTCAACAGAATTCGGTATGATGTTAGAATCATCAGATCGATTGATTTTCATAAAAAATTGCAATAGAAATGGTCCGATGGTTCTAAGATTAGACTGCTTGATTAACTTTCAAAATTCAACATAATGCGATGCGATGTTAGGACATCAGACGACTTGAATTTCATAAAAAATGTCAACAGAAGGCAGTCCGATGGTTCTAACATCGGACCGCTTGCTTAACTTACAAAATTCAATAGAATGCGGTCCGATATTAGAACTATTAGACTGCTTGATTTTCATAAAAACATTGCAACAGAACACGGTGTGATGGTTCTAACATTGGATCGCTTGGTTAACTTACAAAATTCAACTGAATGCGGTCCGATGTTAGAACTATCAAACTGTTTGATATTCAGAAAAAATGTCAACAGAATGCGGTCTGCTGGTTCTAACATCGGACCGTTTGCTTAATTTACAAAATTCAGCACAATGTAGTCCAATGCTTAAAGTATAAGATCGGCGGTAAACTTGACAAAAATTAAAAATATCAAGGTTAACAAGCGGTTCGTTATTGAAAAATTGAAATGGGGGCAAACTTGAAAAAAATGAAAAAAATGAAAAAAATTGAAAGATCCGTCATTCCAAGTAATAATAAGCTATTTTTGGGTCATTTCGTTGTAATGATACGTAAATTTTTTGAACTTCTTTAAAAATTTTGGGGTATGCGGGCGAGTAACTCGCGTCAGCTTGGGGCCAAGTATCCTATATGAGGCGAGTCCCAGCGCACTGGTCATAGAAAATTTGTAGCCATATTTCTTAAGTTCCCTTTATTGAGTTGATGAAAGTTGTATGAAGAGAGTGGAACTCACCGAAACATACATATCCAAGTCTTATTTGTTCTTTCTCCATGACCATCCATCCATTGATTAAACGACGATGACGCTTATCACCATGATTTTATGGATATGTAGATGATCTTGCCTCAAGATAAAAAGTTTAAGATGGAGCATTGTCATCCAATCATAGCCCTTGAAATGGTAACTGGTTAACGGCGCATCAAGCGTCAGTGTTTCTAATGAGTGGCGATTAAGACGTTTCGAGGATGGCTTTGGAAACGTCAGAACCAGCCAAGATTGCGGTGCTATCGATTTCAAAAGTAAGAAGCCCAAACATTAGGCGAGTTTCTGAGCGCACGAGTACCCATTGTTATTCGGAAAAGTATACAAAGAGATCAATTGTTTTTACGATAAGGAGGTCACAAATTTTAATTGAGCTGTTTTAAGGGTGTTATTGAATCGACTCAAAGTTTAAAACAAATTTTTGTTTAATAAAAGCAAAAAAATTTGAACTTCATAACATACTCCAAACCATCTAATTTGATACCTAATGACTAAAAATGATCGTGACCTCCTTGTAATAATAATAAATGCATGAGTTTCTAATTCAATACATTTTGCATCTGACTCGAACTCAAAACCCAGGTTAGTCCGTGCTCGGCCATGGCACAAACCTTTAAAATAAAAAAAAATAAAAAAAAAGGATGAAATAAGGGATCAAAGAACTCGTGGTGGAGGTGGATTACGACAACTGCAACTAGTTGCTACAGATGTCTAGTGCAAGGTAAACAAACGGATATAACGGAACGGATGGGGTCACGTCCCTTTCCATTTAATAACAAGAAGGGGTCCCTAGGGACGGAAAAAGAGGCATCCAAGAAAAAAATAATGAATGAAAAAAGAACAAAAAAGAATGGAACTCAAAAAGAAAAAAGAGATGCCAGGAAAAGGAAAAATAAAAAAATCATGGGAGAATATTTAGAAATGTATTTGTTTGAAGAATATTTGGAAAAGGAAAAATATTAAAAAAAGTTTGAAGCCTTAAAAGATTACAAATTATATACATATATGCTTTTAAATTTCATTCTTTCTCAAAAAACGTGTTAATTTTTTTTCCAAATTGTAGTTATTTGGTAGTTGGAAAGCCTGAATAATTAGCTCTACATTGGTAATTTTATGCTTAAAAAAGGTAAATTTGTCATTTGGATAATGCCTATTAAATCCCCTTGTTTGATCCCATTTTCCAACATCGAATAGGGGCAAATTTGAGAATCTTTTGTCATTTTTCTTTTGGAAACAACTCATTGATATACAAAATTTAAGTAATCTTTTGACTCTTGTGGATTTCAACCATTTTTTGATATTTTCACATTATTTTTTATACTATGAAGAAGACCTGATATACAAGCCGTGAAGGGTGTTCAAGCCAAAAGAACAAAAACGTTTTTCTACCTCTAACGACCTGGTTTTACCCCTCACTTGGTTACTCTTTTACAACAAAATGGGCCCAGAACCAGTAGGGGCCGTTATTTTCACGTAATTACCAATTCAACAACCAGCTTTTTTTCCTTTTTTTTTCCCCTTTTTTTTTTTTCTTATTTTTTTCCTTTTTTATTTGAATACTTACAACAACCTTTTTAAAATTTTTTAATTTTTATCATTTGACAAATGTTAAAACTTCATTAATAAAAGAAAATTACAATAGCGATTACTTCATTAGACACCAAATGTTATTAGGTTAGCTATCTTTGTGATGGCCTTAAAATATATTTTTATTTTTAATTATAAAATTTAAAGCATAAAAATAGTGTAAATCTAGCAGATCTAGAAAAACTTAAAAATTGAGAATAAAAAAATACGTTACAAGATGCACTATTTCCAAAACTTGAAATCCATTTTTTTCTCATGTTCATGCATCTTGGCGTTGAGATGATCAACTTGAACGTATTTGGGCGTCAAAACAACCTCCTATAATGAAATTTTTGAGGTGCGCTTCAATTTGATTGTTTAGTGCCTGAGCTCTATATAAATTTTTCCCATCTTTTGGTCATAGATTCATCTACATCTATTATTTACACGGAGGCTTTGATGTCACAATTTCATCCACATCACTGTTAAAAGAGAATCAAATAATAAATGCAAGAAACTAAACACAAAATCGCCTGAGCATTACAAATCAAAGAGTGTCATAAAACTTGTCGAGGGGTCCCTAGAAGCAAAGAGGCATAGAGGAGCTCATTCCATGTATCTGGTAAACCAGGCAAGCACCAGTGACTGCAATCTGCAAAGGTTTCTGGCTGCTTTTGTTGCTCAAGAGTGAGAAGCTTCCCTCCCCTCTCTGTAAAAACCGAGGTGTGTGCGTCTATGCGATACTGTGATAGATGTGTTATGTTCAGATATCTCACCACCCCATCCATCTCGGCAACAATCTTCTCTGTAACATTCTTTATGACATGCGGAAAGTTTACGATGTACGAATCGTCCATGATCGGTTGTGTTTGGTTATAGCACCATTGCTTCCTATTAAAAAATCCCGAGTAAAAAGCCCGATAACGATAACAAATCGAAGGCATGGTATTTGTTTCTAGAAATAAGGGTAAGATGGTAATTTTGTTGAATTACAGTAATGAGGGTAGAAATATTATTCGGTATCAGCCGTCGAGCAGCTCTGTTTGAGATATGGTGAAGCTTGATATCCAGAACTTCTCATTAAGGTATTTTTGTCAGAAGATTTTCACGCTTCAAACTTTTGGTATTTTTAGGAGCTGTCAGAAAAATATCAAACAAAATTGGAAAACGAAAAGCAGTGTTTTACTCAAAACCAGATACCACAAAGGAAAAACTTCTTTTTCCTTGGAATTTCTATGAACTTTTATCTGATCATGAATTAAATTTGCGAAGTATTGCAAAACAAAAGGAGAAAGGGAATGGTATGTTGACTTTGAGGAAAATACTGAAATTTTCCCTATACAATGATATCTGCAAATAACAATCAAAAGGAGAAAACAAGGCAATTAATATCTGCAACGATTTTGGTTTCTTTTTGAATTACACATGCGACTGGGATGGCCAGAAAATTAGCGCCGAATTTGCATAAATCATAAGAAAACGAAATGCTCTCTCTCTCTCTCTCTGTCTCTCTCTCTATTGTGCTATGGCTCATCCTCGTAATTGGGAACTAATGGAGTTGGCAATCTATTCCCAACTAAATGTAGAACATTAAGATGAATTAGTGTTTCAAAACCTGGCGACTCTCGTTCCAGATTATCGACCTGGATGTAGAATGGATTCAAGACCAAACTAAATCCAGCATGGTATGGTTCTCGATCCAGTTCACCCTAAAATTTCCCTTTTCATTTTTATTTTATTTTTTTTAATCTTATCTAATAGTTTTATTTTATTTTATTTATAACAAATATTTTTGGATCCCTGATCCAGGCGATCCAAGAAAGATCCAAATTGCCAATCCAGATAGAGATATCCGCCCCACCGATCCTTTTTTTAAAACATTGATATGAATATAACTCATAGGAAAATATTTCTATGCTTCCCCTACAACATAAGAGTTCTATCCTCCCTCTACCATCCAGCCATCCAATTTTGATCAAAAGAGACACTCACTATTTGATCTTAGATCCAACGTCTCAAAGTATTTTATTTTTAGTTTTTTTTATACAAATTATGTGAATATGAAATTTGGTACCTACCATCTTCTCATTGAGGCGAGCTATAAAAAATATTAAAAATAATTTTTCGATAAAATATAATAATCATAATACCCTTTGAAACTTTCAGGGGTATTTTGGTTATTTTATTTTATTGAAAATATTCTTTTATATTTTTTGCTAGTGCGAGTTTAATAGAGGAATGGACTTCCAAAATTTGGTGTCAAAATAGTTTATAAAAAAAAATTAAAAATAAAATAGTGTAGAGATGTGACATTGTGATTGGAGCAATCTTAGCCCTCCATTCAGAATGGACGGTCGAGAAAGGGGGGGAGGATAGAACTTCTACGTATTAGGAGAAGCATAGAAAGCTTACCCTAATTTATATCTAACCATTTGCTTTTTTGCTTAACTTTTGAAAAAATTTCATAAGTGTTTTTTCATTTTTTGGGCCAAGTTAATAGGGCTTAACTCAAGGGAAAAGAAGTTACCCTTTGTGTTCAGGTGAAATGCTGCGAAAGAAGACAGTAGTCACGGAAGGGTCAACATTCTTTTCCACCCATTGTGCCCAAGTCCTCATGGCCATCTCGTATGCAATTTCAGTTTCCAAGTCTTCCATCAATTGCCCCTCCTTTTCAAAGAAATCCCACCTGTGTTTCCCACACTTTGTAAATACGTGTTTGCAATCCGCAAGCGTTTTTCATTCTTATAAGCTTGTGATATTACACATAAAAAAAATCGTTATATTTGAAATAAAAATTTCAATAGCTAAATAGTTATTCATAGTTAAAATTTAGCAGAATAGATGGAGAGTAAAAAGGTCGAGACAAATAAGTTACTTCTGCTTACGTTTTGAACTTGCCGGTGTGAACCCACCAATGGCCGGTGTTAAAAAGCATGACATTTGCACCTCTCCAATATTTAGAAGATGGTGAAATGGACCCAAGCTTTATCACTCTCCCTTTGTCCGACACTTCATTCAACTCCACCAAGAATGGGCTCCAAAAGAACTCTACTGTGCAATTGTAGTCCTGTAAAATCTAAGCCATGAGAGAGAAGGGAAAGAGGAGACAGAAAGGAAGTTGTACATTTATCCCCCACCATGCATATCACACCACTCTCCGTCCTTTCGTGCATGAGAGAGATGAAGAATTTTATGAATTTTTTTGTTTTTTTGTTTTTTTTACAAGGTTACACCTAGAAATGGAGCCTGGGACATTGGACTGTGAAAACTTAGCCTCTATCGACACAAACCCGTTTCCTAAAGAGTTATATGTAATTGTTTGGACACCGGTTTAGAGAGACAGAGAGAAAGAGGGAGAGAGAGTTATATGTAATTGTAACTATTTGGACTCGTTCAAAGGAAAAATATTTTGTGAGTCGCCCAACTTACACTAGTTTTGTGCAGTTTCCTTACAAAATAAATATCAAATATGTATTTTTCATCCAAAATTTTAGGGTTCGATAATAGGTGAGTCGGGTGACTCACCAAAATCTAAAGAGGGAGAGTTATAATATATAGAGGGAGAATTTTACCAAGGCACGAAATACTTTGTGGACTGCACTTTGCACTTTTACATGGGCTCGAGATGGTGGAATGAGAGAGAATAGTAGGCAAGCGAGAGACTCCCATTGGTTTCTATTCAGCGAATCCCCAACAAGAACTATCCGTTTTCCTCTCATCCTCTCCAACAAATCCATCCCATTAAACCTGTCACACCAAACGAACAACACTTAAACCAGAGCACTATAAAGGCACAAACCATTTTTTTCTCTTAATTGAGACTAAACATGAAGATATTCTATATCATAATGGTTACTTATAAGTACCATGCATGGCCTGCATACCTTGGAATTTCACAATCGTTTGCTTCCCACCTCCATTTCTCATACTCGGAATCTGGCCGTCCGTTTTTCCGGCAGCTCACTTGCTCGCTTAAGAACGGGCACGATGATGGGACGTATATCAGACGTTGCAGTGGATCATATACCCATTTCCCATCAAATATGTTGCATTTCTTAGAATCTAGATCCTTTTTTCTTTCCCCACCATTTTCGATCCCTGACAGCTCGGGCAAAGGGGGTGGGAAGCTCAAATTAGTCTTCAAGAGAATCACATTCCAGGCCTCTGGGTCTTCTGTGGGCGACGCAGAAAGCTCAGTCGATTTCTTCGGGCCAAGGGTCCACGAGAAACTAGTGGTAATGTCTTGTCGGTCACTGAGACATAGGAGAAAGAGTAAGCTGAGGAGGCTCACAGATGAGCACATCATCCATTTCTGGTTCACTAGGTTTGGGGTACCCTCCATGGTGGTTTTGGAGAGTGCTCTCTCTCTCTCTCTCTCTCAACTAAGGTACCTGCAAAGCTCAAATATCTCTTGTCCAAAGGTTAGTGTACCATAAAGCTCTCTTGGTCTGTTTAAATCTCTCTCTCTCTTTCTCTCTCTAAAACGTTACTATATGTTTGGCTGAGGGAGGGGCATAGAGAAGAGCGTATATTACGAGGGAGAAGATCATTGCTATTTTCGCAGCCTGCACATGAGTGTCTTTTTCATTGTTTTGTATTGATGGTCTCTTTTAGACTGTTTTATTTACATTTTAGGTATTAGATGGGGATTTGGTCCTGTTTATTTGACTATTTTATATGGTAAATAATAGATAAGGTTTTGTTGGGGTTAAGTTATTCAACCTACTTTTTGACCCACTCTGCTTTGGTGGGTCTTATAGTGATGTTTCTTTAAACCTAACCCTATTCTACCCACTACGCACTCAATCTGCCTGACAGTCTAACTCCCTTCAACTTATTTCTTTGGAAAACAATCCCCATAGTTCTAACATATTAAAAACTAAGTCTATACATGAATATCAAGTCTCTATTCTCACCAAAAAGAGTATTCTACCCACTACGCACTCAAATCTGCCTGACAGTCTAACTCCCTTCAACTTATTTCTTTGGAAAACAATCCCCATAGTTATAAAATATTAAAAACTAAGTCTATACATGAATATCAAGTCTTTATTCTCACCAAAAAGAGTAGGGGCTCAAATCTCCACTGACTTTAACTTTTTAATAAAAAAAAAAAAAAAAACTATACATTAAAAGAGAGCAAAAACCGGGAGTATTTTTGTCAAACAAATAAGCAATACTCACAACAAATGGGTTTAATCCTTGATTGGTACATACAATAAGTGTTTCAAATGTTACTAAATCACCGTAATTTCATTTGGGAGGGACGTTTTATACAATTTGTAAACCCAGATCCCCCAAACTAGCCATCCTAGACACCTCAGAGCAAAATACAAGCAGAAAACTAACTCGGACTCCAATCCGACACCCAAAATCTAAAAACTGACATCCTAATATACTAACCTTGTAGAGCCCTCAAAATCCACTCAAATTGAACATTTGTTTCTATATTTTAAAGGAGATCATGATCTTTCCAAATGTCCAATAATCATCTAAATCCAATATGTGGTTTGAAAGCAATTACCTGAACAAATTTGTCCATAAAAAATTCCATTTTGCTCCAAAACTCAGAAGTGTAGACGACGGAACTGTGTCATCTAGCCTGGAATTGTCAAGACAATGCATACCACATTGTCTGAACCAAATTTGTCCAAATGATGAGAACGGCATCCAATCATATTTGTTCACAAGTGGGAACGTGTGAAACAGTCTATATATAGGCCAAAACATAGCAAACTCAAGAAATTAAGCAATTAAACCTATCTTAGAGCCTTAGGTGAATATAGAGCCTATGAGTCCCAAAAGCCCTAGAAACCCTTGATCTAGGAATCCCTAAACCTAGAATCAAGAAGCCCTAACTCTAGATCATCAAAAAACCCTGGTTCAATGTGAAATCCTAAATTCCAATTTAATTTATCAAACCCTAATTTTCATTTTTAAAACCATAGCTCTAAGATGAATATGCCTTAGACGTTCTTTAAGAAAAGAGGAGGAGATCATTATAAACAACTCGCGGTCTGATACGGGCACTAATTGGGTTTTCAAGAGTATTGGGCCAATCAAACTAGCTAGGAAAGTTTTCTTTCTGTTATGGATGCAGTAAGCATGCAAGCCAAGCCCGCACATGTAGAAATGTGGAACCCTTCATACATCTATTTTTTGGATGGACTTTTGGACTTAATTTTTAAGGATATGTAATCTCTAACTAGGAGATCATAACTATGAAAAAATAACTAATTTTAAAAATTGGAAATAATAATTATATTAAGAAAACATTTGAACCGTTAGTTTCAATTGTTTTTAGATGGACCACATATTTACATCCGACTTTTAGATGAATGCTTTATACTTCTAGACCGCATATGTATAAATGTTGTCCAGCCAACATGAAACAATTTTCCTTCTGTTATTTTCCTTTTAAATTTTAGTTAAATTTTCTTCAATTTCAGGTTCTTAGGGTTTATGTAGTGGATTTTATGTGATTCTAAAGCCGACTCCACCATTCTCAAGATTGTTAACGAACAATAATTTGACAGACCCCACATTCTTTATCTATTTTTAATTTTAACTAGTCTAAAGCATAAATTTGGAAACTCTTCATCTGAGATCTCTTCATATTTGCAGCGTCAATAATACTCAAACTTTGACCCCTCAAAGGTAGACCAAATGAGGTCCAATTGACATTAAATTTTTGCGATCACCAGGTGGTGCCTTCGACTAAACTTAGGTACTTTTCACCCCATTCTGAGGCCGTTGACGATAATGTTGACTTTAGGGTCTGCCGTAGATTGAAATGGTGCTGAAGATTGGTGGAGAGACCTCTTCTTGTATATTTAGATGACCAGTTCACTTCATTCCATGCCAATACCACTTAAAGGGGTTTCCATCATGCATCTCTTGATCAACTGGATGTGCATTTGAGCTACAAGTAGGTCCGCAATCTCAAGAATTTCGGCTAGGAGACCCTTTTTGGAATGATTTAATGATCCCTTGAGTTTTTTTGTTTTTTTTTTTTGGGGTAATTTAGTGGGGGAAGATAGGCCCCTACCTGTTTTTTCAATTACTTTAGGAGTTGGTTTTTTTAAAGGTGTTATTGAGGTGGTGTCCGTCGGAACGAAAACCATAGATTAAGGTGTGAGGGTCCTCCCACCGTGACCCCATCCCCTTTCTGGAGATCCCTTGAGTCTGATCCCATTTTGATACCACTTGGTGGGCCTTCGATAGATACATCATTATCAGGCAGGCTGGTGGATAGTGCATTGTCCATCCTTGGTGTCTTTGCCCCGACTTATAGGGATATAACAACAATAATATAGTCCAGTCCTATGCTCCATACTCAATTATCCTTGTTTAATCAGATGTCTTGATCATTGTTCGCAAAATCGCCCGATCTAACTGCTAACCGTCCAGTTAGATCAGAAACGGCCAATGGACAGTTCCAGTTTTGAGCGGTTAGGGAGGTCAACTGGTATTTAAAAAAAAAAAATTCAAAAAATATATATATAAATTCTCAAAAATAAGGAATTTGATTTGTAATGCATTTTTAAATATTCTTTACATTATGGTAAAGATTAAAAATTGTTTTAGTTATCAATACTCACTTTTATATTTTTCCATCTTTTTTAGAAAGTTTAAAAATAGCCATTGGAAAATATAAAATGGGTTAAAATCCATTTATTTTTCATTATTTTTCAACTTCATTTGAATGAGTTTTGTTTTAATCATTATTTTTATTCTTTTTCATAGTTTAATAGATTTTTTTTGTATTTTTTTAATTTTTTCAACACTTTTTTGACTGCCCAAGACTTGCCCGGTTACAGCGGTTGAATCGGCGGTTTACTGATTAGGCCGGTTAAACCACTTCCAAACCCGTGTCCAGTTAACCGTTCAGGTTCGATTTTACGAACACTAGTCTTGATACAAAAACACTCCTAAATGGGTAGAGACTTTTATTTTATTTTTTCCATAAAGATGTTTCTAGCTCCATGACTAGTGGGGGCTATTTTATAGGGAAATAAAATTAAGAAGGTTAATTATTGGAAAGAGAAAATATTAAGATTTCAGGTTTCTAATAAAAACTAGTTTTATTATTTTTGAGATGGGTGAGCACAAAAATTATTCAAAGAGAGGTTGAAGTCTTTTGTTTCTCTCTCTTGGGTTTTTTGAAGTGCATAAAAATTAAAAAAGGGTTTTCTTCCAAAAATCTCAAAAGGTTTAGAGCTCCTTCAAAGTTAAAACGGGTGTTCTTCAATAACCTTGGGAATAAGTGTTTCTTCTAACAAAGGGAGGAAGAAGGAAATTTTCCTAGAGGTAATTGTGTATTTTTCTATTTTTTTTCCCGAATCCTTACGTTATAGTTAATTAACTTGAGAAGAATGATTATAATTATGTTATTGTACAATAAATTTTAAAAAAAATTACGTAAATATCCAATATATTTTTTGCTATTGTGAAAATACCTGAAACTTTATGTTATTACAAAAATGTTTATTTTTCAACTTCGTAAGACTTTTTTTTAGAAAAGACGAAATTGTTTATTTTCAGTTTTTGAATAACCGAAATTTTTTATTTTCAGTTTTCAAAAATCGTAGTTTTTAAAATTCAGTTTTTGAACAACTAAATTTTTTTTTGTTTGTTTTTTAATTCACTCTCTCTCTCTATACCCTTCCTTTCACCCCATGCTTTACCATGTCGTTTCCATTTAAAATCTTCCCTATCTTTTGTATCTGCACATTTGCAGAAATAGCTGTCATAAAACCTCTCTAAGAAGAAAACTAAAAACTCATCTCTCTCTCTCTAAAAAGAAATCCTAAACTCTCTCTTCCTCCCCCCTCCTCTCTCTCTCTAATGTAAAGATTTTAAACAAGATCTTTTTCCAATTCTCTGCCTCCCACCCTCGCTTTTTCTCTCTAGAAAAATCTTAAAAACTTACATAGAAACTTAACCCTAACTTAACCCCAATACTCTGTCTCTCACCAACATACGGTTTTTTTATTCTATATTAGAAACTCTCTTTAATAAGAAACCTAGAAATTTTTTGCCAATTGCGAAGACTTTGAAGACCTAGAAAACCTGCAAAAAATAGCCGAAAATGAAAAGCTTTGGTGTGCTGATGACCCTACCTATGATGCCCTACCTTCAAGAAGAGATTTCTAGTCAATTCAAGCTCTTCAAGCTATGGGAATATCCAAATCAGGCCAATTTCTCTATCAAAACACTGGGTGAAACTTACCCAAAAAATGAAGTTGGATGAAGGAGACATAGAGTTGAAAAAAAAAATTGGGTGGTTCAAAAACTGAAATTTTTTTAAAAAAAATTATTTGAAAAATCGAAAATTAAAAAAAAAATGGTTTTTCAAAACAAAAAATGGGTAGTTTCTTATTTTTAAAAAAAAGTGTTATGAAGTTGCAAAACGGACATTTGTATAATAATGAAAAGTTTCAGACATTTTGTAATAACAAAAAAATATATCAGATATTTACCTAATTTTCACTAAATTTTATTAGTACTGCGTGGTATTTCTCGTATTTAAAAGGTTTTCTGCAT